AGGGCCGTTGGAGTTCGGGGTTCCGGAGTGAGGAAGGTAAAGATGACTCCTGTTGGGAAGGAGAGAGAAGAAGAGGGGGAAGGTGCTGTTGGGCTTCTAGGAATGAGAGCATATGGTCCTCTCTCCTAAGGGTGGAGATTTCAGGCCAGGCCCCAGGGGAAGGATTCAATAGAATATTCAGTTTTCCAGGCCTGTCCTTTCAGAGCAATGCAGCTGGTTCTGAGGTCAGCCTGTTTGCTTGTCTGGCTTTGCTTCTTTTCTGGGTCTGAGGTGGAAATATAACTGAGGCCTAGATGTTATGTCTAGAGAGGGGAGGTCAGGGGACCTAAACTGCCTCCAGTGTTATGCTAGGGAAGGAAAGGTTATCCTGGGTCGAGGTCCAAACCTCCAATTGTCCGGTGCTAGGCCCTGGGGGCTTTCTTCCCTGGTGACCTCCTGTACCTGGGCATGCTTTGCTCATGTCTGTCTAATTGCCAACTACAGTGCTTCCCCATAAGACTAAACTATCCTAGCGAAAATGCTGAGCCCATCCTTCATAGGTGTGTTGCCTTGATGATATATTCTTCTAACTAATGTATAGGTTAATCATTTGTAAAATTTGTCACTGATTTTTTTCTGCCATTTTCCCCCTTACCTTATAATATGTCTATTGATTTTAGAGAGAAGGAAAGAAAGGAAGGGAGAGAGAGAAAGAGAGACATTGATTCATTGTCTATTGTAGGCACCCCGACTGGGACTGGACTGCAACCCCAGCATATACCCAAACTGGGTATTGAACTCTTAATCTTTCAGGACGACCCTCCAACCAAATGAGACACACCAGCCAAGGCCATTCTGCCTTTTTATCTGACTGCCTGTATGATGGGAGAGCTCAGATTAAAATACAACATGTGGCATTTAGATGTGTGGAGAATTCTTTCAACTCCCATATGGTTTCACATCCTCCTAGTCTCTCTCTAACCACGAGTATTTCTTCTCCCACCAATCCACCTAAGGAGCAGACTTCCTGTCCTCCGGAGTTCACAGTTTATTAACACAAAGCCAGCTTGTTCATGAGCATCTGGTCAATCTCACAGAACAGGAACATCAGCAATATTATTTTCAAAATAGAATTTAAAGAGTGCTCTCATGTTCATTCTACACCACAAACCCCCTCCACTGTTACTGTGAGCAATGTGGGTGCTAATGGGCTCATTCATATTAATGGAAGGCTGATAGCTCCTACTTTACTCATTCATAATCAGGTGGAGATGGTTTACACACATCCTTCATTCTACTTTGAAAGCCAACAAAGAATAGTGAACAGTCAGCATAATCTCCTTGACCTGAGTTCACTCTGCAATATAACTGCAAAGTTTACAGATGCTCTGAAGTTCTAAGATGAAAGATTCCTTCAGCCATCATGAACTATAATTCTAAGACAGAAACTTACTTTATAAAAGAAGGAATCCACATTCTATTATAATCACCACTTAAATATTTGAAGTTGGCTATTTTCTTAATAAATTTTAAGAAAAATTACTATTTTCTCTTATTTTTTCAATTTCCTCTTTAAAGCATGATCACATATTTCCTCTTTTGAATAATTTACACTGTTAAAAATAAAAAACATCAGTGTTGATTTAAAAAAAAACATTTTTAAAAAGGTTTATGCATTAAAAAATATGTGTCTGAAATATACTCAAGATTGCATATATATGTTTACATAAGTATATACCATGTATTCACATGTATTACTTGATGCATTCAAGTATTTATACACAGAATTTTTAATGAGACATAGATATTTGATATTACAGAGATGAGCATTTAAGGAGCTTTGTAGCCTTCATTACTAATAAGCACAAGATATAGTTATAAAGAACAATATTTTGTCACCCTGGCTGGTGTGGTTCAGTTGGTTGGAGTGTTATCCCATATACTGAAAAGTTTGGGTTCCATTCATAGTCAGGGCACATAACTAAGTTGCAGGTTCAATCCCCAGTTGCACATATGCACATACAGGAAGGCAACCAATCAGTATTTCTCTCTCATATCGATGTTTCTCTCTCTCTCTCTCTCTCTCTCTCTCTTCTCTCTCTCTCTCTCTCTCTCTCTCTCTCTCTCTCTCTCTCTCTCTCTCTCTCTCTCTCTCTCTCTTTCTCTCTCTCCCCTCCCTCTTTTGCCCTTTCTATAAAAAAAATATATAAATATTTCCTCAGTTAAGGATTTAAAAAAAGAACAAAAAGTAACAGTCTGGCTGATATAGCTCAGTGGTTGAGCATTGACCATTGAACAAGGAGATCATGGGTCAACTTTTGGTCGGGGCAAGTGCCCGGGTTTCAGGCTCAATCCCCAATGGGGGGAGTGCAGGAGGCAGCTGATTGTTTATTCTCTCTCATCATTGATGTTTCTATCTCTCCCTCTCCCTCTCTGAAATCAATTAAAAATATATTTTTTAAAAGAAAAAATTTTGTTAAAATACATTGTAAGGTGACATGCACTTAAAAATTTGTTAAGAGCTCTGGCTGTTGTGGCTTAGTTGGTTGGGCATTGTTCCATGTACCAAAAAGTTGCCAGTTTGATTCCTAGTTGGGGCACACATTCAAGTTGTGGGCTTGAACCCTGGTGGAGGGCATGTGGGAGATAGCTGATCAATGTTTCACTCTCACATTGATGTTTATCTCTTTCCCTCCCCCACTCTCTAAAAATCAAAATAAAATATTTTAAAAAAATTGTTAAGAGGGTAGGATCAAGATGGGTGAAAAAGATGAAGGATTTAAGAAGTACTAATTTGTTGTTGCAAATATTCATGGGGATGTAAAGTATAGCATAGGGAATACAGTTAATATTCTAAGAACTATGTACAGTGTCAGACAAGTATGAGATTTATTGGGATGATCACATAGCAAGTTATACAATGCCTAACCACTGGGGTGTACACCTGAAACTAATATAATATGGCATGTCAACTATAATTGAAAAATTAAAAAATATTTTAAAAAGAAAATGTAAAAGTTTGTTAAGAGAGTAAACTCATGTCAACTGTTTTTACCACACACACAGAAAAATAACAACAAAAAGCAAGGGACACAATTCTTTAGAAAGTGACTGATATGTTATTTCCTTGACTGTGCTGGTGGTAGTATCATGGATATATGCATATGTCCAAACTCACCACGCTGTATACATCAGAATGTATACTTTTTTTTTGTATATTGAGTATACCTTAATAAAGCTTAAAAAAGACAGCTTAAAAATTCACAAAGCATTAATTGACATTTGAATTAAAAACAGATCTTATAAAAAAAATCTACAATGTATGAGGTAGAAAACTATTTTAAAATATAAAAGCAGCATCTGGAAAGAATGGATGATGACATTCTAAAATTAGCTAAGTAATGACAAAAGAAACCCAAAACAAAACCTAAAACATTCTAGGAAGAGCTGGGAAGACCAAATCCATTTTTAAAAGTTTCTGCAAGATGCATATGCCCAGCCTATACATTTATCCTGTGATGGTGTGATTTCCTTTCCAGCCTGCTTATTTTAGTTTACATTCAGGTATATGCTATCTAATAAAAGAATAATATGCAAATTGACTGTCACTCCAACACACAAGATGGCTGACCCCATGTGAACGTAAGATGGCCACCACAAGATGGTCAGCAGAGGAGGACAGTTGAGAGGGACCAGGCCTGCAATGAAGGGCAGTTGTGGATAATCAGACTAGCAGGGGAGGGCAATTGGGGGCAATCAAGCCTGCAGGAGAGAGCAGTTAGGGATGACCACGCCAGCAGAGAAGGGAAGTTGGAGGGGTGGGGGGCAGGACCCAGGCCTGCAGGGGAGGGCAGTTAGGGGCAATTGCACCGGCAGGGGAGCAGTTAGTCATCAATCAGGCTGGCAGGGGAATGGTTAGGGGTGATCAGACTGGCAGGCAGAAGCAGTTAGGGGCAATCAGGAAGGCAGGCAGGTGATCAATTGGGAGCCAGCAGTCCTGGATTGTGAGAGGATTGTCCAACTTCCCAGTATATTCACTCTACTGCTGATTTAGGCCAGTAGGATCAGGGCAGTTGGACATCCCTCGCGGAGTCCCAGAATGGAGAGTGTGTAGACTGGACTAAAGGACCCGTACTCCCACCCCTGTGCACAAATTTCGTGCACCAGGCCTCTAGTCCTTGATAAGAGAGAAGTAATATTATTTACATATTCCTATTCAACCATATTATGATTCAGATCATCCCAACTGAACTACATTTTGGTTTTAATTTCAGCACTTTAGACATTGTAGGGAACTCTTTTAAAGTATAAGTGACAAGGAGTAAATTCCTGATCCAAATGTCCTACAGATTTTTTATAACAATATCTAGGGAATCCACATGTTGGCCACTTTATAAGACCCTATTGGACATTCAGTTAGTAAATTATATTGGATAGAGTACAAAATAAGCCATTACTAGAGAGTTTTCTCTATGTGAACACTAGCATTGCAGTGTTCATGTGAGATTCATTGTAACTAGAAACACAATTTCCAAATTGACTTTACAATGACAATAGAATATTTCAAAGTTAATTTCCTGTTAGAGATGATCAAAATTGAAATCTGAGTGGTGACCCTAGCAGAAAGCATCTACCCAGGTGACCACACTCAGCTCTCCCTTCTGAGGATATTGCCTTTAGGAATGACATGTCCAGTTTCACTAGGAACATGTGGGCAACCCAGAAACACATTACTGCCACTTGGAAAGTAGTTGAGAGATGGAGATTTTATTTCTTCAAACAAACATGGGTTCTAAAATCCAATATAATAACTCCAAGGAACATTATTCCTGTGGATATTAGTCTAGAATCACAATGGTATTTGGGACAGGAAAACAGATTGAAATATGTTTAACAAATTACTTGGAATGAATTTAGAAATAAACATAAATCACATATGGACAATTTTGCATTTAGAAGCCTATAGAGAAAGCAACAGAATATCCTGAATTGAATATTAAAACATATTTTGATTATTCTAGGTAATGCTGATCCTGAAGGCCAGGGTTACTGCCAAGCAGGATTTAGTCTGGATTTTTATAAGGTGAATTTCTTTGGTCTTTTAGCTTCTAATATTTATCTTATCTGTTTGATTTTTATTTTACCTCTGCCTCTCACTCCCACTCCCAACCCCTACCCTCCTAGAAACCATCACCACCAAAAGAAACTGTATTTAGCTTCTTTTGACAACTTTAATTTTTATTGTTTACTTTTTATTTATATTAAAGTAATCTATGCACATGACAACCTATTAAAATTGTACAAAAGTACATATAATGAAAAATAACAGTCTTTCTTCCTACTCCTTGAGGTTTTCATTTTTAAATGAAAAATAAATCTCAAAAACCCAATAGAGAAATGTGCTTCTGAAAAGTTAACAAGAATCTATAAATTATTTTATTTTTTCACTGTAATTGACTGGTTTAACATGTGTTAAAATTCACATAATTCTCTTACCAAATTAAAAACAGTTGTCGAGTGAGAATATAGGAGGCAAATATTCTATGGTTTTAAAAATTGTATACATTTTTATCAATATCTCTTTTTTTCTTTCCCGCTAAAAGTTACAGGTGCAGAGGATAGAAGGTGGGGTTGTAGATAAGGGAGAAAATCTCCATTTGCTAGTTTGGGGATTTTGCTCTCTCTCTTGTGAAAGGAGGGTTTGCAAGTGTATGGAAAAATTAGGCATTACTGTGGCCTTGAGATAAATAGAAACTGAATTTTCATTTTATTGCCAAGGCTCAAAAGGCCATGTCTGCTAATTGTACATAAATATGTAGATAATTTGCTTACCTGAGGCAGTGCCAAGTAACTGAAATTATATATTCTCAAGGGAGAGAATTCAGCTCATTTAGTTAAGTCAAATTAAAAGTATAAAATATAGCACACTAAATAATTGAAAGCAAAGATGGAAAATAAAATGACCCATATGACTCAGGCCTCTTTAAAAATTTTTTTTTATGTCCAAGAAATTATTAGAACAAAGCTTATTAACAGTGATTTATCACCCTTAAAAAAAAATCTGTTTTTCTTTTTCAATTATTGCTGTTTTTGTTTTATAGAATGGAGACCTCATAGTGGGAGGACCTGGGAGTTTTTACTGGCAAGGTATGTCCTGTCAGCCGAGAAGACGTGCCTGTTTGTTGTTACTAACAAGCGAATGAAGCTGAGAAACATCAAACGTTGACTTTTTATTATGCTAATTTCATATTTATGTTCATAGTTTCTCAACTCAGTGAAATATTTCAGTTTATACTTCATTACACTGTTGCAACTTAATTCATTTATTCACCAACTATTTATTGAGGCCATGCCAGGCTCTGGGACAAAACAATGAGTAAAATCAGACATTGTTCCTGCCCTCACAGAAGCTACGACCTGGGGAAAGACAAAGGCATTAAAGGAATATTCATACAGGCATTAAGAAACCCCAGGTATGCTACTCTCTGTGAAGGAAGGGTATGTCAAGATGGTGGCATGAGGGTTAGGAGGCTCCTCCAGGCTGTCTGTATATAGGTGTGTTATGTCCTCTGAACACTGGCTGGCAGGGAGCTGGACTACAACCTGCGTTCTGCTTAATAGGGAAACCTGAATTCAGGTGCAGGATAGCATCTGCACAGAGGGGATGGGTTACTTTGATTATTAATGTTTTTAAATTTATTGAGAGAGAGAGAGAGAGAGAGAGAGAGAGAGAGAGAGAGAGAGAGAGAGAGATCCAATGGGGGATCAAACCGGCAACTCGTGCATGTGCCCTGACCATGCACTGACTGGGAATCGAACCAGCATCCTCTTGGAGCTACACAGGCCAAGCCCGGTTGATTCTTGATAAGTATTCCAACTGGGGACCAACTCTACAACCTTGGCATATCAGGGCAATGCTCTAACCATCTGAGCTACCTGGCTAAGGCCCTCTGACTCACAGGTTAATTAATTTGGAAGCAGACAATCCTGAACTGAGATCTGAACCTGAGTGGGAAGTAACTAGATGAAGAGAGGAGGGAGTGTGTGAAAATGGTCTTGCAGGATATTTGGTTTGGTCCAAAATGTCTGGTCCATGAAGACATTTGGTCCACACTAACCAATTTAGCCAATCTCAAACAGCTAAAATAACCCAACAAACCTTCATAAGGAGATAACTGAAGCCATGGCTGTGGACAGGATGCCTAATGAGAGATTATAGAGAATATACACTGAATTTTGGCTGTAAAGTTTAATATAAAGATAGAGTAGAATATGAGAAAAATGAATAATTGACTGAGGGTATTTTTTTTTAATTGCAAGAGACCTGATCATGTTTAAAAAGCAATTGGAAAGGTATAAGAGAGATGAATTTATTATAAAAGTTTATATGAAGTTACTGTTAAGCTTAATTCACACATATACAACTATGAAATCAAATAATTAACATTTCAGCCTTGAAAAATTATTTTGCAAATGAAAAACAATATAATTTATACAGTAGATGGATATAAAATTAAAATTGTATTTAAAAATTGTATTTAAAAAGATTGCCTTGTAATTCACTTGATTAATTTAATTTTTTTCTTTCCTTAAATTGGAAAATACCTGATACAGATGATTTGCCAAAAATTAGTCATATCAAGGATGTATAGAAGCATTTCTCTGAAACAGATAATTTAAAATTTTATTCTGTTTTAAGATTGTAATGTTTATAGAAGCAGCTAGAGGAAACAAGAAAAGGCAGAAGTGGTTATTTAGCTTTATTTATTAACCTAGAGAAAATTGGCAAATTCAACAGACATTGTTCAGAAATCCATGTGTAAATACATTGTCTTAATATAAGAACAGTCATTTTAGGCACAGTTATTTGGATATATTTATGGCCTACGTTGACAGTTTTATTATTTTTGGACTTTAAGCAAGACTGTGGGAATTATGTGAGTTCTCAAAGAATAACTTGGCTTTAACATTAATATTAAATGTTAGTTTCTTGAAAGCATTCCTCTATTTTCTTCCCAAAGAGTATGAGATCACACATTTTCCTTAGATGTCCATAATAGATATCGGAAGGCATGAAAATTGTAGTGGGAAATTGCTGGCCATCTTTTTTGACTTCTGTTCATCCCAACACAAGCTTATTTTAAGACTTCTGATAGTGGCTTTATATGAGAGAGATTAACCAAAGTTCTGATCATATCAATGTTGGTGGCCATGGATTCCTCTTTTTGCTAAAATTCTGGATCTCACTATATACCTAGCTATTTCCCACTTTCATAATATTATGCTCCATGTGTACACTTGGCATAAAAAGTAAATGGCTTACTTTTTTAGCATAAAAAGTAAATGGCTCAAAGATTTTGTAATTTTTCCCTTTAACAAAGCTATGTTTCACAATTTTTAATTAAATGATTTAGATTCAAACCATCTGTATTATGTGAGAACAAAAAAAGTCTAATTAGAAAGAATGCCAAAGGAGACCTTCGTTGTAATGCCAAATACCTAACAGCAAAACCAAAGGAGACCCTGGTTGTAATGCCAAAGACCTTAGCGAATGCACTGAAGCTCTTTAGATCTCAGTTTCCCCACGAGTAAGAAGTTATAACTTGGCTAGATGGTATCAAAGCTGGATCATGTTTGTTCTACGTAGAATGTCCTAGAATAAAAGTTTAATCACATAAAATTTGCCTACAGATGTCTTCACTCTTAGATATGCTTGTCATTTGAAGGCCGGGGGCTCTGCATGGTGAAGGGAGACACATAAAATGTCTAGTTCACTCTTGGTTCTGCCATTAGAATGGAAAGCTCTCACAACTTCAACTTGCAGTTCTGGTGGCTGGAAGGAAATCTATCATTGAAAATGCAAGCAATGCCATGATCACTTTTAAAGGAGAGTGTTGTTCAGAGGTTCAGACATGCAGTTAATGCAATAATTTGTTTCAATGCAGGTCAGGTGATCACAGCCAGTATTGCAGACATCATTGAAAATTACTCATTCAAGGATATTCTAAGGAAACTGGCTCGAGAAAAACAGACGCAAGTGGCCCCAACTTCCAACGATGATAGTTACCTCGGTGAGATAATTCACTTCTGTTTCCTCAAAAGACAAACATATTAAATGTGTGGACACAGTTTATTCCTCAGTTACCTGATATTATGTTGGCATCTTATAAATGCTTTCTTTTCTTATTAGCTTAGATGGACTCTTAACTTTCCTTCCCTTGGATTCAGCCATGATGTATAACCTGCATGATTTGACAGCTATTTTATAGGCTCTGTGATAGCCTCTGGCACATAAAACATGCTGCCAGTAATAGGACCGTTTATTGGTGGGGCTGCCCAGGACTACGATGCAGGCAACATGACAATGGCCTTTCCAGTTTCTACAGCAGCAAGAGACTTCCCAGTTGTTAGAATGTTTGAAAATCCATCATGTGCAAACCACACAATGCCACTTCACCACTATGGTTTCCCACCTGTGGTATGCTAATGGGCATTTTGATTGATCAATGCATTTTAAAAATAGTTATGTTTTGTGATCGTACCTCACTTTAGAGTTAAGTGAAATTTGTGGAAAACCATTATTACATAAGTTAGAAAATAGGCCTTGGTGGTGATCAGAAGTAGCAAAACCTGAGCACAAGCCATACCTTTCTGAGTGACATGTCTGATGATGATGAATCAGTAACTAAAATGCACTGGTCGCCATTGATAATTCAAGGTGGGTTATGACGCACTCCTGCTTTAAAAAGTGATCTCAGACTCTGTTGCCACAGTCAGAAATATTATGCTTCCAGGATTTAACACAAAGTGTTCATATTGGTGTGATTAATTTTTCCTTTTATAGAACTTTAATCTTTTATGCTACATTATTTGTTGAGATTTCTGTACAAAGCAGAAGACCTTTCATTTTTTTCTAGATATATAGCTCATTTATTTATAAAGCTTTGAACATGCAATTATTTGTTTTTGTTTTCTTTAAAACAGGATATTCAGTTGCTGCTGGGGAATTTACAGGAGATGCTCAGCAAGGTGAGAGACATTGTGGACTGTAAGTTATTTAGGAAACATGGGAAAAGGTAAAAATGACCCCAAAATACCTTTTATGAGGTAATTTTCTTTCTTACACAAAACGTATATAAATGAAATCCCAGAATGCATGTGAAATTTTGTAGAAAAACAACAACAAAAAATACATAGATTTTTAAGTCTTGAAGAATTGCATAAAAATGAATGTCAATCTTTCTGCAATCTAGTTAAGCAATGAAGTATTAGCCCAGTGGTCCTATGTTATGGTTAAAAATATAGATGATTAAATAACTTAGTCAAAAGCCATGCTCTCGGTGACCGTCAGGAGCATTTGACAGAGTTAATCTCTCCCTCCTCATTTCTTTCCGTGGCTTCTCAGACAGTGGCAGCTTCTTCTCTATCTCTTACTGATTGCCCTCTAATTTCCTCACCTCATCTACATGACCTAGGTTTAAATACTGCAACTCTTACTCATTAAACTCTCTCTAGTAATCTCATCCCATGTCAATTCTCCAGTGTACACTGAATTCCAAGTTCGTGTCCAACACTCAACATCTCTATCTTAATAGCTGTCCTAAACTTAATGTGCTCAGAATGGAACTCCTGACCTTCCCCACTGATGTGCTCTCCCCTCCATCATCTTCATTTCAGTAAATGGCAATGCCAACCCCCCAGGTGCTCAAACAAGATTCCTTGAAATCAGCCATGAACTGTGTTCTTTCTTTCACACCCCTTATCCTTGACCAAATCCTGTTAACTAAACTCTCAAATTAAGACCATAATCTGGCCACTTCTCACCTCCTTCTCAGCATCTACTCTGATCCACTGACATAATAATAATAAAAAATCCCTCTATTTTTTAAATTGATGGCCTCTTACAACTAGAGTATCAGCAATAGCTGCCTAGATGGCCTCCCTGCATTCCCCTTTGCCCTCCTGGAGTCTACCCTGAACCCAGAAGCCAAAATGGCCCTGTAGAAACAGAAATCAGACTGTAACTTTGCTTACAATGATGTTCTTAATAATTGAGGGTAAAATTCAAATTTTCACAATGACCTAAGAAACCTTAATCATGAAACCACTAATTGCTTTGATTTCATCTCCTATCCCTTTACCCTTCTCTTCTACTCCAGCCACCATGGCTTCTTTGCTTTCCTCTGAATATCCAGACACACTTGTACCTCAGGACCTTTGCACTTCTTCCCTCTGATTAGAACATAGTTCTGCCAGATTTCCTTATTTACTTCCCCACTTTCTTCAGTCTTTGCTCAAGTGTCACCTTTTAAGTCATTCCCTGACGAACCTAATACATCACGAGTCCTTCCTCCTCCAAACACTGCACTTCCCGTACCATTGCAGTTTAGTTTTCTCCGCTGTACTCTTCTGCTTCTAACATACCATTTAATTAGCTCTATTTTTTAAATTGATGGCCTCTTCCAACTAGGTTATTAGCTCCATGAGAGCAGGGGATTTTGTGTTTTGTTCACACTGTATTCAATGTGTGCCTATAAATATTTATTGATTAAATGAGTTAATATACTACTGAAAAGTCCAACATTTAGTCCCAATTAATCTCCTCTATTAATGCTAACAGCATGACCCCCAATTAATCAAATAATAGTTTGATTTATAGAAATTAGAGCTGCAAAGATCTTTGAAAATCAGAGATTCTAACTTGCACCTATTGTAGGGGAGTGGACAACAACAACAAAAAAAGTCTCAATGACTCATCCCAAGTATATGACAGTGCAAAGAACCAAAACCATTTCTTTCTGCAACAGCCAGATCTGTGTGCCTTGGCATCCTGCCTGCTTTCGGCCAGAGCTGCTTCCTGTATAAACCATTGAACCTTTCTTTCTTGGCTGTCAGGTTGGCCCTTAATTCTGCCAACAAACAGCTCCAAGGGACAGACTCCTATCATGTTCAAAAACCAAAATTATTTTAACATTTAGTGTGACAGGAACTGTCAACGTTTTACAATAGTACAAATTGTCGCTGCTGTGAAAGCTAGAGAAATCAGGGTCAGAGGTTTAACCCAGATATCACACGCAGACCTGAGAGAAGCCAGGCTTATGGTCTGGAGGCAGAAACATGGAGGCTGGTGACAGAGACGGTTAAATCTCAAACCACAGCTTTGGACTTCTGTTTTCTATTGTCTGCAGCAGAAACAAAATCGAATGCATGCAGAGAGTATAACTACAAACTCCCAGCTCTCTGCATGATGTGCTCACTTAAAAACTATCTTTAACTGATTTGTTGTGTAGCTGTAAAGTGGGTATAGGTAACTTACCTTCTAAATGACCGTTTTTGTCACCAGAATTGGTTGCTGGAATTCCAAGAGGAGCACAAAATTTTGGATATGTGAGTACTAATGATTCATTACAGGATATTTTCTTATGTATGCACAGACATGTTTTGTTTCATACAACTTTTAACTCCTTTAAAATGCCCTTTCTATAGCAAGCCCCTATTAAGTTGTACTAGTTTGCTAATTAAAAGGGAGGCTAGTTCTTTTGTTTTTCTGATCTGACTGCAAGACCAGCCACATAAATGGTGGGACCCAGTGCAAGAAAATGCAGGGCCCCTTGTTCAAAAGTGTTAAGAGTGATGGTTGGGCAATAACGCAAGGATGGGCACAGGTCACTGACCTATGAAGGCAGCCAGATCCTTGTGCATAATCTAGCAATAATATAAGAGGACCCCACTGTTGATATGACCAACATTTTAATAGGTCTCCTATGGTGGAAATAGTAAAATCAATAGTTATCTCACAGCTTTCGTCTATGTGTATCTGTGCATATCTAGTCCTTTTCCTATAAGGACTGCAGGCATTAGATATAGGGCCTACCCTAAATCCAGAATAATTTTTTCTCAAGATCCTTAACTTATTGAATCTACAAAGACCCTACTTACAAATGGCAACATGGATGTTGGAGAGATACTATTCAAATCCATTATAACTAGTTGCTCCCAAAATAGGAAAAGGAAATAAACAGACCTTAGAAAAGGAAAAACTTTTTAAATAAAAATATTTTAAATAGTGTTTGATTTTTAGAAGTCTAGTACACTTTTAATATTTCTAGATTTGGAGTTAGCTGATTAGAATGAAAAGGAATAATTTTGCTTCATGAATAATATATTTTCTCATAATAACATGAATCTATACAAAATGAAGCTATACAAAAAAAATCAATCTATATAAAAATCCTGGTTAGATCAGTTAACTGACCATGAGACTGATTTTTCTCAGCATGCTTGAATTCAAATTTTATTTCTCTACTTCAAAGTAATAAGCATGTATTTTGTCTGAAAGGATCCCCAGACTTAACCATAAACAAAAAGTTCAATAGGATTTTTGAAAGATCATTCTTACGAGTTTACATTTTAATTTTACATATAGCTAAACATTTATCACTCTTTTCAAAAAATGATTTGTTAAAATTAATTTTTCTCTCAAATTCTATATCAAGTGATGTAACCTATCTAATTTCAATGCTTTCAGGTTTCAATCATTAACTCTACAGATATGACCTTTATCCAGAATTTCACTGGTGAACAGGTAAAGACATTTTAGTTTTTAAAAAAATGTTTAATATATTGTATTGATTTTTTACAGAGAGGAAGGGAGAAAAATAGTTAGAAACATTAATGAGTGAGAAACATTGATCAGCTGCCTCCTGCATACCTCCTACTGGGGATGTGCCTGCAACCCAGGTATATGCTTTTGATCAGAATCGAACCTGAGACCTTTCAGTCTGTCGGCCGATGTTCTATCCACTGAATCAAACTGGTTAGGGCGGTAAAAACATTTTAATATAAAATAATGTTACTTGGTTCTAATAGCATATAGTAATATTTATATAATTTATTCTTTTATAAAATATTTTCTGAGCACCTACTATGTTCCGAAAGCTGTTCCAGGCACTGTTAATATATAACCATGCATCTGACAGATAAGAATCCAACTCTCATGCAGCAGTATCAGGGTGGCAGTTGAGAAAGATGACAATTAACAAATAAATAAGTGCCCATTATAATTTCAGACAGTGATAAGTTATATAAAACTTATGGCCCTTAAAAGCCAAAATGGCACTAACTGCTGGCCCTTAAAAAAAAAAAAAAAAAAAAAAGCCAAAATGCCACTCACTGCTGGGATTTGAGAGCAACCCTGTTATACTGCGTTCCTGGTTGTATAGTGTCTGGTGGTGAGTTCTGGGCTCCCATATTCCATCTGAGAAGACTGAGGCTTCTCATATGTCCCACTGTATTGGCCAGGGTTAGTGATCCTGAGATTTTTTTCAATGAACACAGAGCATTTTTGTCATTTCCCCTCAAAAATTGTGGCTGTAGTTTATCCATTAATTCTGAAATTTTCAACAAAGCATTTAATGATAGCTCTCATGATACTTCTGTGGTAAATGTGGAGAAATAAGGTGGAGATGATAGTGAAGTTGGCTGATTTGTTAATTTAAACAATTATTCCCAAGTAGTGATAATGGTTTAGTGAAAATCTGGCAAGTCTTTTCCTATGCCCAGATTTGTTTTACATTATAAGCTCTTTAAACATTATTAAATTTGGCCTTTCCATAACTTATCCTTAATACCATCTAGTTTTGCAATCTTGAACCTGAGAACCTAAGTGATGAAATTCCTCTGGGTGAAGGCTACACAATGCCATACCAAGAATAAGAATGTTACTGTATTTGGAATAGAGAAAAGAGGTGGGAGAATTGAATTGCTGTGACACTTGTTCACTCCGGAATTCATTCTTTTTGTGAAGAGTATCTTCCACCTGGCACCTACTTTGAGTTAATCCTGGTCAGGCAGTGTGGACAGAAGGGTGAACAACACAGACCAACATCTTCACCTTATGTGGAGCATAGCCAACGTTTAGTGGGCTGTATGCTGATGGGAAGCTAATTCGGCTGACGCACTGGATGGCAGGATATGGAAACAAAAAAAATCCTGAAAAGCTGAAACAATGGGCCAAATCTGAAAAGGTTATAAATCTTGAAAGCATAGGTTGAGAAACAAAAACTTAAGAGCTTGAACATGTGGAGATTGTGGCACACTGGTTACATTTATAAAAGACGTAGGAACCTTACTAGACAATAAACTCGATAAGAATTGATATTGAAATGCAGTTTCCCCCAATTTAAATCCCCTTTCATTCTTCAATGAAGTAAAGGGGCCAAAGCAGAGAGTGTAAATCCTACTTAAGAGGAGTGTCAGTGTGCTCTTGGGTTATCACCTTCTCTTTGGTGTCACATGTAATATCTCTAGGAAGAAGGGGCTAGGATAATATTTCCATATGAGATTTCATAAAGCAGTGGAATTGTATTTATTCTGTGAGGTTCAAAGCTGTAGAACTTATGGACTAGAAGTTACAGAATGGTCAATTTTAGTAAAGAACATTCTAGTAACTGAGTCCACAAATTGAATGGGCTGATTGTTAAGCATCTTCTCAGGGTGTCCAAGTAGAAGTCAGGGGAATAGAGGGGGAAATTATGCATTGGGTCAGGGGTTAGGTTAGATGACTCCAAGACTCTTCTGTATTCAACAGTCTATGAATTTAAATGCAAAAATGTGCTGCAATGAGATTAATATTTCAGGGAAAATTGAGACATGACTGTAAAAATGACTTTGAACACAAAATATGTCATCTTATGTTTTGTCCTTTGCAGATGGCATCTTATTTTGGATATACAGTTGCAGTATCAGATGTTAACAATGATGGGTAAGTTAATAAGAATCACCTCACTCACCACGTATTTTACTCATCCATAAAAATGTTATATTTTCCCCTTAATGAAATACCCCCTTCCATATTTCCTTGACAAGATTGAAACTCTCGTGTTTTAACTTGTTTTGTGTGTGTGTGTGCGCGCGCGCGCGGGAGGGGGGGGGGAGGGGAGGGGAAGAGGGGAGGAGGTCAGAGCAAGGGGCTATATCCCCTAAAGAATTCTTTGTCATCCTAGTTTATGTCTTAATGGAGATTTCCCACATCTGCTATTTCTTTTTTTTTTTTTTCTTTTTTAAAAAAATATTTTTTTATTGCTTTTTTTACAGAGAGGAAGGGAGAGAGATAGAGAGCTAGAAACGTCGGTGAAAGAGAAACATTGACCAGCTGCCTCTTGCACACCCCCTACCGGGGATGTGCCTGCAACCAACGTACATGCCCCTGACCGGAATCGAACCTGGGACCTTTCAGTCCGCAGACAGATGCTCTACCGCTGAGCCAAATTGGTTTCAGCCACATCTGCTATTTCTAGAAAAGGACTCTTTTAGTTCGTTTTATCTTAATTTTATGAATTGAATATTCCTTGATAATTCAAATTCCACAGCCAATGAAGAATTTGTTAATGTGTCTCTTTTAATCATTTAGCAAGTGATACATTCATAAAACATTTGCACATAAATATTTTTTCTCTTTAAAAAATATTTTTCTCTTCACATTTAAAAAATATATTTATCATTGAGAGTATTACAGATGTCCCCCAACCATCCCCCCACATAACCCTCCTCCACCCAGATCCTGCCCCACCACAGGCCTTCACCACCCTATTGTCTGTGTCCATGGGTAATGCATAACCTATACAATAAAGATATAATATGCAAATGGTCCTTACGCTGTGAAGTGTAATGACTGACCATGTAACGACCAGATCACGGATCAGCAGGAGGGTGGGGCAGTGAGCTATAAGCAGGCGGCAGAGAGCTACAGGAGGGGGCAGGGCAGCAAGCTATGAGGGGGAATAGGGAGTGGAGAGGGTGGGGGGAGCTACAGGAGGGTGGCAGCAAGTTACTGGTGCACAGATTTGTGTGCAGGGCTAGTAGCATGCATGTATGATCTTTGGTTGATCACTTCCCTATTCCTTCTTCTCTTTCCCTCTGAGATTTGTCAGTTTGTTCCATGTTTCCATGCCTCTGGTTCTATTTTATTAATCAGTTTATTTTGTTCATTAGATTCTTTGTTTTATTTTTATTTTCAATTATTGATAGACTAGAAGCTTGGTGCACAAAATCTGTGCACTCAAGTTGGGGCTGGGGGGTGTCCCTCAGCTTGGCCTGAACACTCTCACCGTCCAGAAGCCCTTGGGAGCGGGCCGAAATCATCAGTTGGATATCCCTAGTGCTGCCACAGAGGTGGGAGAGGCTCCCGCCACCACCGCTGTGTTCGCCAGCTGTGAGCCTGGCTTCTGGTTGAGTGGTGCTCCCCTTGTGGGAGCACATTGACCACCAGGGGCAGCTTCTGCTTTGAGTGTCTGCCTTCTGGAGGTCAGTGCTGGTCATAGCAACTGGTCATTCCACCATTTGGTCTATTTGCATATTACCCTTTTATTATATAGGACTAGAGGCCCAGTGCATGAAATTCATGCACGGGGGTCCCTCAGCCCAACCTGCACTCTCTACAATCCAGGAGCTCTCAGGGGATGTCCTATTGATGGCTCAGGCCCACTCCCCATGGTTCTCTGCTTTCTGCGGGGCCTGGGGGTTTCGCTGCAGCCATGGAGATGAAGCCCCCATGCCCTGCTGTCCGCTCTCTGCCTGCCTCCACCATGCGCCATGTGAAGAAAGCCCCAATGCCCTGCAGTGCGCTCTGTCTGCCAGGCCTGGGGGCTTTGTTGACACCAACACACTAAGGAAGTCCCATGCCCTGTTGTCCTGGCTCTGCCTGTGGGGTCTGGGGGTGTTCCCATCACTGCCGTGTTAAGGAAACCTCCATGCCCTGCTGTCTGGTCTCTGTCTGCTGGGCCTGGAGCTTCCCTGCTGCAATCGCATTAAGGAAGCCCCCATGCCCTGCAGTCCAGGCTCTATCTGCCAACATCTGGGGGCAAATCAAGCCTCACTGCTTGGTCCCCTCCAACCCTTGGGGGGCTGACAGACCCAGACACTGAAGCTGTGGTGGAGCTGGGCGGCTGGATATGCACACTCTGGAGGCAGATCCAGCCTCATTGCTCCTGTGGACAGGCCGGACACTCCAGCAGCGGGGCTGAGGGGACTGGGCACCACCATCTTATGGCTATGGGGGCTGCCATTTTTGTCACGGAGTGATGGTTAATTTGCATATTACTCTATTAGTAGATAAGATATGTATTTATTGCCATTTTATTGTTCATATTTTTAGTCTTTTCCCCCTTCTTCTTAAAGAAGACTCTAACATTTCATGTAATGCTGGTTTGGTGGTGATGAACTCCTTTGTTTATTTTTTTTAATCTGTGAAGCTTTTTATCTGACCTTCAATTCTAAATGATAATTTTGCTGGGTAGAGTAATCTTGGATGTAGGTCTTTGCTTTTTATCACTTTGACTATTTCTTGCCACTCCCTTCTGTCCTACAAAGTTTCTATTGAGAAATCAGGTGACAATCATATTGGTGCTCCCTTGTAAGTAACTAACTGGTTTTCTCTTGCTGCTTTTAAGATTCTCTCTTTGTCTTTAACCTTTGGCATTTTAAATATGCTGTGCATTGGTGTGGGCCTATTTGGGTTCCTCTTGTTTGGGACTCTGTGCTTCCTGGACTTGTAAGTCTATTTCTTTAACCAGGTAGGGAAATTTTCTGTCATTTTTTCAATTTCTTGTTCCTACTCTTTTCCTTCTGGCACCCCATGATGTGAATGTTGGTATCCTTGAAGTTGTCCCAGAGGCTCCTTACACTCTATTCATATTTTTGGATTCTTTTTTCTTTTCTGTATGGGTGTTTTCTTGCTTTCTTATATTCAAAACCACTAATTTGATTCTCAGTGTCCTCTATTATTGAATCCTTGTAAATTATTCTTTGTTTTAGTTAGTGTATCCTTAATTTCTAACTGGTCCTTTTTCATGTCTTTTATTTTCTCACCAATTTCCTTGAAATTCTCACTAAGTTTTTTGAAGCTCTCATTAAGTTCCTTGAGCATATTTATAACCATTGTTTTGAATTCTATATATAGTAGTTTGTTTGCTTTCATTTCATTTAGTTATTTTTCTGGAGATATCTTCTGTTCTTTCATTTGTTTCATGTTTCTTTGTCTTTGCACTTTAGCTACTTCCATGTGTTTGTTTCTATGTATTAGGTAGAGCTTCTATGTCTCTTGGAATTGATAGAGTGGCCTTGTGTAGTAGGTGTCCTGTAAGGTCCTGTGGCTGAGCCTCTCCACTCACCTGAGATGGGCATTCTAGGTGTGCTCCTGTTTAAGCTGTATGCACTGTCCTCTTGAATTGAGTCTTAATTATTCTTGGTGTCACTGGGAGGAATCAACCCCCAGTTCAATTGGCTGTGAGGACCAACTGTGACTGCAGCAAAAGAGGTGCTGTGCAGGAGACACCTCTGTGGAGCAGGACTTGGCTCAGTGGACTTTAGTATTCACTTTTCCCTTGAGCGTGCTATTTGTGGATATGTTAGCCTTGTAAACTGGCATTGTCTGAAACTGTCCACTGGGTGCACTGGCTCTAGGGCCTTTCAGGAGATAGAAAGTTAGCCAATGCCTCAGCTTTGCCTGGGGCAATCTGTCAGGAGCTACAGAGTGGTCTGCTGATGCCTGATACTTGTGTTGGGCTTATAGGTGCCCAGAAGAGGCAAAGTTGTGAATCTTGTCAAGCTGCTGCTAGTACCAGGCCTACAGCCACTTATTGAGAATCATGGGCACACTGAGTCCTGCTGCTGCTTGTTTGAGAGATTTTAGGAGAGTCTAAAACCTGAGCCAGAACAGACCATTCATATGGGAAAGAACACTGAAAACAACTTGGGTGTGACTGCAAATTAGGTGGGGTGTAATATCAGGGAATCAGCAGGGTGGGGTGAATAGTGTGGGGCAGGTTATGGAGACTCAGATATAGCACCAGTCAGTCAGCTCTGTTGAGGGAAGTCCCAGCATTTTGGAAGAAAGCTGCCCTGAGTTGTTTCCCTGATGCCAGACAATTTAGTTCCTCTCCATATGTTCCTGGATCCTTTCAAGCTGCTGTCACAGTGCTGGAACTCAGAGGGAGTGAGTCCAGGTAAGTCAGTGCACTAGCCCTTTAAGAGGAACTGCCAGGGACTCCTGCAGCCTCCATGTCACTCAACCATAACACCTGCTAGTTGTTACAGCCAAAAGTTATGAGGATTTCTTTTCCTGGGACTTGAAGCCTGGGTGAAGGGTGTGGTGTGGGGTTGGGATCCCTTGCTCCTCATATGGTACCTCTAAAGCCCCAAGATATCTCTGCCATTTAAAAAAAAACACCACATGTGGGTGTTGGACCAGCTTGTACTGGGCCTCTATGTGCTTCTTCTTTACTTCTCTAGTTGTAGAACTTGTGTTCAGCCAGATTGCATGTGGTTCTGAATGATGGTTGTTCTTTATTTTAGATGTAATTTCGATGTGGTTGTGGGAGGATTAGATTATTGAGTGTACCTACACTGCCATCTTGGTTCCTGGAACACAGTCAGGATTCTTCCGCTATTTTCTTTCTATGACTGGAGATACATTTAGTAACTTTTGTACCTTTGGAAAATAGCTCTGTATTTTCTTTCATTGAACATATATTTCTTGACCATCTACTATATATTAGCACTGTTCTGCATTCTGGGTTATAATAGAGAACAAAATAGAAACCTTTGTCCTCAACAAGATTATATGAGAGTTGGGGGGTGGGGTGGGAACTACAGACAAAAATAAACAAGTCAAGTAAAGAGTATGTTAGCTTGTGATGAGCACTATGTAGGAAATAAATAGAAGGACTGAAAGTGACCAAGATGTCCTTCAGTTGGCAAAAGTAT